ATGACTGTGATCGTGGTCCCGTAAGCCTTTGAAAAAAAAACGAAAACGCGCGTTCAACAAATAAAGTAAGTGAAACCAAATTTCACGCAACTAATTTGGATCTCATAATTTGAACGCAAACAAAAATAGCCGCAGAGCAAGGCAGCAACGGCATTTTCTTTCAAGCTCTGTGTCTCTCTCAAAAATGCAAGCCGAGCATGCTGATCGGCCAAGTGGGCCAACATCTGGATTTTTTCTTTCTCTATCGCTCTTTCACTCGGAATCATTCCGTCGGGAGACAGGCGGGCGTGCAACAGCAACAGCCGTGCGGAAAGCCCAGCGATCCTCGCAGACCCCCCTCCCCTGACCCACCGTTACGCATCCGCGACATTAAGACGAGCAGACGTGTCGCGCACGTGCGCGGTTGTGCGTGCATGCGCTGGCCCTGGTTTGTAAAAAAAAAGTGTGCGTTTTAGCTGCGCCACACTCCTTGGCTCTCTCTCTCTCGGAAGAAGCTCAACCATTTCTCGGAATACCCAGCCAGTACCATCGCTTAAAACCCACCCCAACTGGACATCTGTGTAAGAAGAGCTTCATAGCTCATCGGATTCCTTGAGTAAAAAAAATTAATAGTAATAGGTTTTACCCTTTTAACTGGCACAAAAAACTGACACCTTTATTCAAGGCATCATGTTTGCAATAACCACAACACAAGCAGTCAAAATGCAAACAAAAGAGACAACTCTGATAATAATATGCACCGTCCTTGAATTTGATTGGTCCACACCCGAGACGGCTTTTCTTAGAGCCTAGTCTCCACTGGTGTTGGACCAGAAGACGCCAAAAGACTGTTTTTAGCAAATAATAAATACTAGGAATACAACGATGTACATTAACTTAGCTGCGTCAGCAAGGAGTGCTCGACAATGCTGTATTATACAATATTTCCTGTCTTACATTTAGTGTTTACCAGTATGTACAACTAAAACACATTTGCATTATACATTGTATGTTTAGGGAAGTAATTTTTCCGTGAAGTTATTTAATAATTTACTTAATCTCAAACGCCAGTTTAAAAAAATTTTCCCCTTTAAAGTTTCAACAAGCTCCCGTGAAGCGGAGCTTATTAACAATACTGGGGCACTATAAAGTTCGCGCTAGATGTGTGTGAGAGAGATCAAGCGAAGCGAAACTTCCATCGACAACAGCCTTATTGGTGCGTGACCTCCAACAACATTTTCCGTGGGGTTGTGCTCAGGGATGACACGCACAGCAATCTCTGCAGCATCTCACACCCTGTTCACCGCAACAAAACATATCGCATGGAATGCGCCCCCACCCCCTCTGTCTCATCAGATGTCACGTAACGTAGCAGGATTGAGGTTGGAGAGGCTTCAGATTAGCAATGACCATGCGTGAAACAGGCTCTTGCGGGGAGGAGGGCGATGTTGCAAGCAGAGAGCTGTGCTACAAAAGCCACTGTTGTTACTGTACTCATGCCCCAACACCTTCAACAACCCGCAATGAACAAGCGTTTCAATCCATAACAATGTGTCCGTGAACCCGCCACCACCCGACACGGCCAACCCAGTAAGGTTTGTCACGTAAACAAAACGTGCCGATTAGTTACCGGTGTGCTGGGAGAGTGAATACACAACGTTTACACAATCTGTACTGTGACGTTGCATTGGTAATTACATCCAGCACCATTGGGTGATTTTGCCAGAATTGGCTGTGTCGGGTGGTGGCGGGTTAGCGACACATTTTACACTTACGTGATCTAACCCAAAAAAAAACACATTTATTATGAACAATATTGGTCGTGAAAGCCTACGTGTCAAACTGAAGCGTTGTAATGCCTCTGTGCCCTGCCCTCACCAACCTGCGCTGAACAGGTGAAGGGAAGTAAGATAAAGCACATGACCCGAACGCCATGGAACAAATACCCTCACAATCCCCAGAATTTTATCCAAAAAAATGTAAAAAATATATATGATAGAATATAGTATTGTCATCAGTATGACATAAGTATACCAAGTTTGCAGTCGATACCACATTGGGAAGTGGGTTAAAATTGAGTTACAGGATTTGAGGATACAACAACAACAACAGACAGAGAGTTCAATAAAAGCGTGTAATAAAGGGGATCGATCAAAAATAATAAGGGCTGTTACATGTACTTGAGCCACGTGAAATGATGGGCATAGATGGGCCTGCATAAAGCACTGTAATCAGACAAAAAAAAACGGAGTACTGGAAAGAGAAAAATTCTGAAATGTGGCAATTACAAGCTCCAGAGTGCAATCACATTGTTACTGTCCATCTAATGCACTACAAAGGACGAGGCATAGCCACACAAATTGCACAATTTATTAATCGTGTCCACTTGAATACACGTAAAGTGTATGGTCACAAGTTAAAGGCAGGGCCCGTGTTACATACTGTATATTAAAAACACAAGGGCCCACATACACCACATTGCTGTACTAAATATGTAAGCCACATCGTGAACTACACACAGCGAGTAGAAATTTAAAATAATGAACGTAGGCAAGCAGAACATCTAATTACAAATTCATAATATCCACGAAGTAATGGTAAATTACTGTCAAATGTACTTATTAAATTAATACATTAATAGCACGTACAATACAAATGAAGATTCAAATGAATGCATACGTACATAAATTAAACGTGTACTATTTTTGCAAGACAGCTGCAAACAATGTACTTAAACGCGGTAAAAGCATGTCCGTACCAATACGGAATAGTAATGTCAATTTTTTTTCAAGGTGACTCATACCGGATACACCTGAAATAATGGAAATCCCTATATTGCGGGATTAATCAGACCGCAATTATTTAATCGTAAAAAGTCAAAATCCAACCAAGCAACGTCACTATCACCATCGTGTATCCATAATAGTTTTTTTGTTAGATCGCATGACTATACATTAATATACACATAAACCCGTCACCACTCGACAGCGAATGAGTAAGGTTTGTCACATAAACAGAACATGTCAATTCGTTATTATTACAGCACATTGGTGTGTTGGAGGGCAAATCCAAAACATTTACACTCTGAGTACGACGCTTCGCCAATAATTACAACTAGCTTCATCAGGCGACAGCCAGATTTGTGGAGACATCCTCCTGTTTCGTTCCTTAAATAGAGGGATGGACGTGATGACGACGCATTTATATTTACGCTATTTACGTGATCTCATTTATGGATGATATTGGTCGCAAAAGCCTACGTGCTAAACAGACCATCGTGTATATTTACAGCCTTTTTGTCAATCCAACGCATTGCATGCAGGTTGGTGAAGACAAGGTAACCACAGACGTGGGAGCATACAAGTACAGTACAACATTTGATTTCCTGCATGGGCCCCTTTCTGCTCACAGTCGTGGCCCCGAAAGCCTGCAACACCCGTCGAAGGCAAGCACCAGCACCGCATTAATAACCATTCCAAATATCAAGCTGCACACTTTACTTCGGGCATAAACGGCAGTAGGTTGAAGATGGCAAGACAACAATCTCAAAAGAACACATCCAAAAAAAACCCCATCAAAATTAATCTCCTTGCTCACCGAGATATTCAGCCTTGCAACAAGAGCACGAGTCATGGATTGATGGGGCCCATCCTCGTGCAATGCATCATTGCACACTTTTGATTCATATTCAGCACACAAAATATATAATAAGCTCTAGACGCTGCCCATGGCAGGACAATGCACACTGAGGGCACGGGCAAAAGTACATGCAGATACACTATACACTGCATACACAATAATAACATAGGGAACAATTGCACGCGCACAGTATAACCAGTCAAAAGTAAATACACTAAAATCCACGTCGAAAAATTGTGAGTTCGTGTAAACGGTTACGCATTGCCCATCATAATAATTTAGCATTTTTTTTAAAAAGCCATTTTACTATATCAATTAAGTGGCCGCGCAATAACTTAACGAGCCCCTCGATTTGTGCAGCTCCTGACCGAATGCCTCGGCCCCACAGGGCCCCCCCCCCCTTCGTCCCTCTTCTCTCTGTACCAGGGTCCCTCCATGTCACTCACCAAGGACACCCAACCACGAATTCTTCCCAGGGAACATTATTTCCAGAATCCTTAACTCTCTCTCGCTCCTAAGGTTCTCACCTCTACGTCTGCCCTTGGCCCACCGTCTTATCTCCTCGTTCTTGTATCTCTATGTTCGTCCACAAGTACAAGTTTTACCAGGTCGACGTCCCGAGCTCCGTCCCACTTTTATCCTAGAATCCCCGAACCTCAGCCCAAGGGTCCCTTATTTCCTGAATCACAATTCATTTCCCCATATCAGAACTGGGGTCAAGAATAATCACAAATAGAGCAGCATTTTTGTTTACATTTATCATTTGTGCTTGCAATTCATTGTGAACATTCACAATAACAATTGTAATTAATCTCAGGTCTACCCGAGATCCCCACATATCTCCCTATTCTCACCTGTTCCCCGCACCATCAACTTACACCTCTTCACTCCCTGTCCACATCGCTGTCTCAGAGTGCGCCTTACTTTGCTTGCTACATGCCTTGTCCCTCCATCCCAGGGACTTCTATCACCTGTCAACGGCTCCTCCATCTTTCTGTCCACACAATATTCCCCTTTGGTACGATAGGAACCCTCTAAAGTATCCCGACCCCCAACCCCCCCCCATTGTCATTGTCTACCCGTATTCCAATCTTTATTTCCCCGTGTCCATCCCGTTATCCCTGTACCGTCTGTAGAACTTCTTTCGCGCCGTACGTCGCCGAACCGTGTCGCCGCTCCAGTTGCCCTCCTGTCCCATCATAACCCTTTTACTGTCCTCTCATCCCTCGACAGTCTACGGCATCTCTTGTCCACCAATTCCTCACGTATCCCACACGCCTCTCGTTATAACCACTCATCCTCATTTCTCGATACAGTCTCCATTCGCTGCCCCCCCCCCGTACCCATCCCCGGTAACCACCACCACCACCCCCCACGCTCACCGTGGCACGCAGCTGGGCGAGGCGCGGTCCACCTCCCACGCCGCGTACAGGTTCATGGGCACGGGTTTGGCGCCGGGGCCCGCGGCGACACTTCGCGTCTTGTCCGCCATCATCATCATCGCCGCCGCCGCCGCCGTCGTGGTGGCCCTCACCTCCTCCAGCCTGGCTCGCTTCACACCACCACCCCCCCACTTACACCTGACCCCAGCCCTGACCTAGCCCTGACCTGAATTGACCACCACCACCACCACTACCCCGCCCCCCGCAACGCCACGCCGCCTCAATCCCCGAGGTGGCCGAGCGTGTGCCGCGCGTGCACATGCGCCGCGGGGCTCCTAGGAGCACAGTACAACAGAGCGCGTGCGGCTGCTTGCTGCTCCCCTCTTTTGCTCCTCTCTCTCTCTGCCGCCCTCTCTTACGGTCTCCCGCGCACAACAGCAGCAGCAGCAAGTGATGAGGAGGATGAGGTGGTGGTGGTGGAGGAGGTCACTGCGCGCGGGAGCCTCGTGCACACGGCCCCGCCCCTCCCCCGCGAGAGTTCGACCCCTCCCACCGGAAATGATGGAGACTCGCGGGCGGAAGTTGCGCGCGCGAGGTGTGGGCGTGGGTGCTGCTTGCAGCAGGGGCCTGAGGCCTCCCATGCTGGAGCGGCTGGCCTCACTCCTGCAGCAGGACGGAGGCCAGCCCCCCCCCTGCTGCAGGAGTGAGGCCAAGGCCCCCCCTGCTGCAAGAGGGAGACCAGCCCCCCCCCTGCTGCAGGAGTGAGGCCAAGGCCCCCCCTGCTGCAAGAGGGAGACCAGCCCCCCCCCTGCTGCAGGAGTGAGGCCAAGGCCCCCCCCCTGCTGCAAGAGGGAGGCCAGCCCCCCCCTGCTACAGAAGTGAGGCCAAGGCCCCCCCCTGCTGCAAGAGGGAGACCAGCCCCCCCCCCTGCTGCAGGAGTGAGGCCAAGGCCCCCCCCCTGCTGCAAGAGGGAGGCCAGCCCCCCCTGCTGCAAGAGGGAGGCCAGCCCCCCCCTGCTACAGAAGTGAGGCCAAGGCCCCCCCCTGCTGCAAGAGGGAGGCCAGCCCCCCCCCCCCCGCTGCAGGAGTGAGGCCAAGGCCCCCCCTGCTGCAAGAGGGAGGCCAGCCCCCCCCCCCCCCTGTTGCAGGAGTGAGTCCCCCCCCAGCCCTCGACAGGAGGGAGGCCAAGCCCCCTTGCTGCAAGAGGGAGGCCAGGCCCCCTCCTGGAGCGTGTGTCCTGCTGCAGTCGGGAGGTCAGGCCACCCTGCTGCAGGAGGGACGGGGGAGGGGTCACTCCCCTGCTGCAGGAAGGGCGGTCCCCTTTATGCTCCTGCTGCTCCCGACATAACTGGCTCACACAGCCTCCCACCTGTCGCACTGAAATTCAATGACAATGGGATCTGTCAATGACGAGACCCCTCCTGTCCCCACATTATAACGCAATACTAGTGCTGGCCGGAAAACCAAAGGGTTAAAACAACACAAACATGTGTGGCCTCTGGCCAGACGAACACAATGCAGATCTTCAGAAAAATGCTTATTTTTTTTACATACTGCACAATTGCTGTGCGATTTTTACACATTTTTTGCATCTTATTGTAAAAAAAATTCCGGCCTTCACGGTTTTTCTGGTATTGTTTCTTGCCCCGTAATTTACAGATTTGATACGTGTTGGCATTAGCCAAACTAATGGGCCCCACAGTACGGAAGTGAAAACTCTACATACCGTATAATGATTCCCCAGAGGCAGCCTTGACAGCTGTGAGCATTGGTGACTTCTGTGCTGATGAGTCCTAATAAGGATCAAACCGGTCCACAGTTATCTATGTCTCGCTGCTGTCGCTCACTTCTGCTCAAATCAATGTTGATGGCGACCGAAGGCAATGGGACCACAATGTACTTTTTCAGAACCGCTCATTGTTTTTATTTTGCATAATGAAATGAGATCAAGTTCACGCTGAGTGCTTTTACACTTTATTGTAGTTTGAAACACGATTTATTTTTGCACTGACATTCCATAAGCACTTATTCAGTACTCTACACTGTATATATTTTTTAAATATGTATTTTCATTGGTGTATAATGACTGGGTCATCAGACATTCTGCGAATGTATATCGTTGAATTCATGTTTATGCCGTTATTTCTCCAATCCAATTTTCATTGAAAACATTTTTTTAAATCACCGTGAATAACTTTGTCGGGAACATGCTGTTGATGGAGCAAGTCTGTGTAATATTGACATTTGGCCATCTTGCATGGTACGACGTCAATATGCAACATACCTTTAGCGTTCCAACAATTTGTGAATATAATATTTCCTGGTGAGTACTCTGACTTTAATTTGTTTGCGTTTTGAAAATGTTGGATATTTTCGCGGCATTGACTGACTGGCGTTTGAGCTTGGGGTCGCAATGATGAATCCAGGTCTCATCTGTCCAAGATTGCCATGAAACATTATCACACGCTCCCTCTTTGTGTCGAATGTCAACATTTTGGGGACCCAATATGATTATCACACACCGTCTTTATTCCCAGACGGTCATTAAAAGATTGTTTCCACTGCCCCTACACGAATGCCCAAGGTGTCGGCTAACTGTGCAATAGTAACGTGGTGATCTTTGAAAACCATGTCTTGCACAACCTTGATGTTGTCCTCATCCACCACAATCTCACGCCACCCTGACCTGGGGTCAACCCCAGGATACTTTCTGCAATTATAAGATGCTGCAGTACAACTTTTAAACGTTGCCCATGATGCATTATTCCCGCACACTTTCAAGATGTGATTGTCCTTCAGTTCAGTGCTCTGTCGCGTCAAAAGTATGCTGATAGGACGATGTCTGATTTTCAGATTTTCAGCATTTGGTACAAACCCAACTAGAATATTATTTTCTGGCTCGTTCTCTATACTGAACATGGACCAATAATAGCTACAAAATCAATGTTCTCTGATATTTAAATCTCTGTTAAGGTCCATTTGTTTTCTAGAACCATCACATATGTATGACAGGAGGCTCATGGGTCTGTCATTTTTTAAGTTTTATCTCGATTTTTAACAGCAGGATGTTTGAAGCATCATTTTATAATTGACAAAATGTCATTACTGTGTAAATGTTTACGCAGTAATGAAATATGACACCTGTACGATAGCTGAAAGAGTATGGGTATTACGCATTACTGAGAATAAAGTCGCCTTGGTTTGACAAATATTAAATACAAAATGTGGATCCAATTTTGAAAATGATAACTTAATCGAACTGGAGACAGAATTCAGATAAATAAATTGGGACAAAGTTGGACTGCATTTGTTGAGAAGCAAAGAGTAGAACTCCCAACATCTGCAAAAACAGCAACCTAGTTTATGATAGAGAGAGAGAGAGCGATTAAGGAGAAGTGGGGTATGAACATGTGACAGAATCACAAAAGGTAACCTTAACGCAACGTACTTTAAACTATTTCGTTTAAATCAAAATATTTTTTCGTGAAAAGTTAAACATTTTCCAAGTGATTTATAGATATGACAATAAGTAAAGGCAAGCTTTTGAGACGTGATGATGACTACGAGTGGATGAAAATCATCTGACGTGATGATGACTACGAGTGGATGAAAATCATCAGACGTGATGATGACTACGAGTGGATGAAAATCATTAGACGTGATAATGACTACGAGTGGTTGAAAATCATCAGACGTGATGATGACTACCAGTGAATGAAAATCATCAGACGTGATGATGACTACCAGTGGATGAAAATCATCAGACGTGATGATGACTACCAGTGGATGAAAATCATCAGACGTGATGATGACTACGAGTGGATGAAAATAATCAGACGTGATGATGAGTACGAGTGGATGAAAATAATCAGACGTGATGATGACTATGAGTGGATGAAAATCATCAGACGTGATGATGCCTACCAACAAAAGACCAACGCACGGCTAATGAAGAAATAAAAGAAATTAGTCTGAATGAAGACACAGATTAAGATAATTTAGGTGGTATATAAGGAGTATTAAATACACGTAATACGCCTCCCAAATTCCAACCCCCTGTTATCATCGTGGGAGATGGAAAACATAATGAGCAGGTCTTCTGAAAGTGATGGCTAAGGGGAGCTCTGGTGTATTACTAACGATACCTTTAAGGCAGATGAGCCTCTCAGAGGCCAATGGGGCTCACAATAGGGTAAGCAGTTGTACGTACCCTGGCCAATCTGTTTAAGGCCGTCGGCAGGCAAGGCTCACGTCGGAGTGGCAGCCAAAAGAGTGAACACGCCCGAGGGAATAACATCCACAATAGAGATGGAGCGATGAAATATGCTCACGAGACCGTGAGAGATGACCATGGCGGCTTAGGGAAGCCTTCATCCAGCAGCAGATTGATCACGACTGATGATGATGATGATGATCAGTTCTTTCGTGTTGAATCTGAAATTCTAATGCGGTTGCATAGTCGCAGGATAAAGTGTACGAGAGGTGTGGTTTGTGACTCCACCTAGAGATCAAATGGCACATTTGCAGTGCAACTGCCTACCAGGGTAGCGTGTTACCCCGTACGAGTGAACGGTATCCTATTCCCTCAAGAAATCAAAACGAATCCATGAAAATCGATGATGGATATGAATGCAGGGTTTCATTTTCACCGGGCCTTTTCGGGTTGGCGATACGGAAAATATATCAGTGCCCAGTCCACCCCATCCAGTTGACCTCTAGCGATGGCTGAGGACACGTGCCACCTCCGACCAGCGACCCGGGAAATATTCAGTGGGAAATGAATCCCTCCATTTCCGTGTCTTGAGCACTTGACTTGCAATTATTAAGATCACCTTACCTCACGATCAATTTCCCAGAAAATTACGGTTGTTCGCATATTGTGTACCCAATTTATGAAGAAATATAATATCATTAACTTATCATTTACAGCCCTTCGTCAATCCACAGCTGGGTGACAGGCCTCTTCATGCCATGTTGGACATCGAGGCTGTCTGGCCATACTTCACCACGATGGTCAAAACAGGTTGGTGAAGTCGGTGCGGTTGCCTTGGGCCAAGTGCTTGATCTCACTCACAACTGCTGTTAGCAATTTCCTGAAATCGAACTGTGCGCAAAATGATTAATTTTCTTTTAATTCTCATGCGACGGTTAGTTTTTTGTGTTGTTTATGAATTCCATTTACTTCATTGCTGTAGAGTACAGTAACTTCATTTTATCGCGCTTTTGTCATGTTGGTGACCCAGTTCACTGACTCTTGGAAATGAGACTATTATAGTCGCTTGAGTTGTCACTGCATGGGTTTAAAAATAATCATCTAGATCTAAAACTTTTCAGAACTCCTTTTTGTGTTTAGTTTCTTGCCCTTCCCCCGAATATCCTATTAGCACGGTTGGCTACGTGCGATGCGAAAGAAGTTCAACATACAAACAAATGAACTTGATTTGAACTCGGATCCTGAGTTTACTGCACAGCGTGCTAAACACTCCCCGTCTCCCAACAAACACGAGCCGCAGCTTTAACGTGACATATAATTAACCTTGTTTAT